ATATATTATATAATATATATATATATATATATATATATATATATATATATATATATATAACGTGTGTGTGTGTATGTATATACATATTTATTTGTGTATATATATATATATATATATATATATATATATATATATATATATATAGTATGTATGCATCTATGCATGTGTGCATGCATGTATGCATATATGTTTGAACGCAAACACAACCACAAAACAGGAAACATAAACAAAAGACACACTACGAAATGAAACTGAATCGTGTCGTTTTTCGAACTCGTCAAGAGAACCTCATCAGACGAACAAAGAACCGGGTATTTGTCGTCCGATGTGGAACACTTCATAAGTTCGATTCTATTTAATATTAATTGTATTGTAATATATTATATATATAATATAATATATATATATATATATATATTATATATATATATATATATATATATATATATATATATATATATATATAATATATATATATATATATATATATATATATATATATATATACGTACATAAATACATACATACATACATACATATATATATATATATAATATATATATATATATATATATATATATATATATATATATATATATATATATATATATATGGGTGGGTTTACACAAATATATATATGTGCTTATACCAGAATCCAGCTCAGAAAGACACCTGAAGATGTATGTAAGTTTACGATCAACAAACACACACAAAACGTTTACCATAGTTGCTCCTCCAGCGAACTTTCTAAATATGATCCCAGACAGACAGAGACACACGCGTATATATATACACACACACATACACACACACACAGACAGGTATATATATATATGCATGTGTATAAAATATACTGAACCCGCTGCTTCCTGATGGTGACAGGCACGTTTCGGGTTTTCTGCGGGCTTTCCCTGTAGCTTCGCGCGCTCGAACCTGAGGACGCTTCAGTCAGTTCGAAGATGGAGCTTCGTTGGAATGCTTGTTCGACTGGGCCGGAGAACGTCTTGTGTTTTCATTTGATTCTTGTTTATTTATTCACTTATTCGTTTATTCATTCATGTAGGTATTCATTATTAAGTTATTTATCTGTTTATGTATTAGTGGTTAAGTTTTTCATTGAGCAAAATTATGTTCCTTTGAGTTCAGAGAAGGGATTTCCGCAAGATGATGTAGGACTAGGCAAGAGTTTGACGTATATATATATATATATATATTATATATATATATATATATATATATATATATATATATATACTCGGAAAACAGTTCTTCCTTTTCTTTTAAAGGTGGGACTTCCTCAAAGGAGTGCAAATGGACCACGCAAGACCTTGGATGTTTTATATTTTTAGCAAAGAATGTGGAGACGTGAGGGGTCGCCTGGCGTGAGAAGTTCAGAGTTAAGGAAATCAGTTGAACCATGCTCTCCTGTAGTACCTCACGGAGTTAAACCGATAAAAGGTAAGTTGTAATTAGGGCACAGGAGCTCCATGCGAACTTAAAGTTATTGTTGGTCAGGTTAATGAAGACCATTTTTTCCTGACAATATTAATGCCGTGTGTGTGTGTGTTGTGTGTGTGCGGGCGATCGCATGTGTATGTATATACATACATCCATGTGTGTGTGTGTGTGTGTGTATGTGTCTGTGTGTCCATTATATATATATATATATATATATATATATATATATATATATATATACATATATATACATATGTATATATATGAATATATATGTGTGTGTGTGTGTGCGCGCGCGCGCGTTTGTGTGTGTTGCACTTCAAGAGCTTAGTGAAAAAAGAGCCTTGATGCTGGAACTTGCTGCCAATAGTATTACACAAAACATTTCCCAAATGTAATATTATCTAAATACCACATATCCACGTTTTCATTCCACAGTTTCCTCATCTGAACAAAATAAATATGAAACATTCACTTAAATTTCCTAAAAGCATCAAATAGAAAAAGAAACATCCCAAGTACACTTTCGTTCCGGAAAATCGGAATTTAAGCGACACTAAAAGTACACTCACACTTTCCAACCAATTAAGTAAGCAGGCCTCATTCATACTTGTCTCTGGGTATAAGCTGAATAAATGGAACTGATCGTCTTTAGTAATAGTTAAAAGCAAGACAGGAAGTTTTGCGAATGACCACTATAATCCTTCTGCATAAGGACGAATTTAAACTATAGGTTCTTGTCCATTAGGATACTGGATACTTGCCTTGTTGTCGCGAAAGTCTTGTACCACTTCTTAAAGTTGGTACAAATTTACTCAGATAGTACGCTTTCATGAGGTGAATGAGGCTACGATTAAAACATGAGGTCATCCCTTATGTTGCGAGTAACAATACAGGTACACGCCCCCCCCCTCTAAGAATTTGTTGAAAAGTTTGCAATTCAAAGATGAAGAGACTCTTCACATTCTTTAAGGTCGGTGTAACCTCCTTCTGGTGATATCTTACGAGAAGGTCCTCTCTCTCTCTCTCTCTCTCTCTCTCTCTCTCTCTCTCTCTCTCTCTCTCTCTCTCTCTCTCCTCTCTCTTCTCTCTCTCTCTCTCTCTCTCTGCCTACGTCTGTACTCCATCTTTCCTTTTCAACTTTTTACTACACTGAGACGTCGTCCATTTTATCCGAATCCCGAATCCTTGGCGCGGATTAGGATCTTAAGGACCTCGCTTCCTTGGGACACTCCAGGGCGACCAAAGAAGCTGTCAATCTTTAAGAAAAACAGAAAGATAAAAGACAAGAATTATGACGGAAATAAAGAACATTTACTGGACACAAATTAATGAGTAGATAAGTTAATAATTATAAGAATAGGTAAGAAGCAAGAAGGAAAAAACAGTTACTGGACACAAATGAATGAATAGATAATAGATAAAAGAAAGGCAAGAAACAAGACGGAAAAGTTAACGTAGAGAGAAAGAAAGAAAAAAAAGGCAAGAACACACGAAAAAAAAACAGTTACTACACGCAAAAAAGAAGAAAAATACAAAAAAAAAAAAAAAAAAAAAAATCATGACGATAAGATAGCGGAAAAAAAACTAAGGTCAAGACAGATAAAACGGTAGAGACACAACAGAAGAGGAAAAGAGGATGAGGAAATATTGGTTCTCCGCGAGCGTCCAAAATAGTAGAGCGAACCCACTTTAGCCCTTCCGCCAGCGTGACGAGGGACCATGCGTGTAAAATATTTCCTCCATCAATTTGCCTCTAACGGGGAATTTCCAGATTTAGTTCTCTACAGACTGCAAAGAAAAGGTCGAAGTTAATTAAAAAAAACAAAGCAAGAAAAATAACCCGAGAATCAAGTCTAAAAAGACAAATTACCCAACAACGAAAACAACATGAACAAAGACACAACAAACTCAAAACTACAAAGCAAAGAAAAATAACCCGAGAATCAAGCCTAAAAAGACAAATTACCCAACAACGAAAACAACATGAACAAAGACACAACAAACACACGCACGCAAATCAACACCCAGAACCATGAACACAACAACAACAACAACAACACCTCCAAACACACGCGGGAAAATACACCATCAGAACCATCACGTATAACACGATCTATTTCGGATCACGGGTCAATGAACGCGACCCCCTCCCCCTCCCCCCTCCCCCACCAGCTGGACACATTCGGAATTGCAGACTCATTTCTAGATAAGGCTCAGTACAGACGCATCCCCCCCCAAAAAAAAAAAAAAAAAAAAAAAAAAAAAAATACTTGTAGATGATATATAGACACACATTCAAACATTGAGACGACTACAACAACAACAACAATGACAACAAAACAACAATAAAAACGGCTAATAACCCACGCTACCAACAAACAAACAAATGTCACAGAGATCCTGCAACTGCAACGCACTTTAAAGGCCGTGTCACATTAGCACTTTTTTCCGTCAATTTTTTGACAATCTTATTTAATATAAATACAGACATTCTCGAATATAGCTCTTGATTTGACTTTGCTTGGCTGAAAAAAGTTGACGGAAAGGTTTTCAGACGGAAACGATCGTTATCGTCTGACTGGAGAATCGACAATTCGCTCAAAAATTGACAAAATTTCAGAAAATTGTCAAAAAAATGACGAAAAAAGTGCTAGTGTGACGGTACCTTCAGAGTGTAAGACAACATCTTCATACAATGTTTTCTAAAACTTCTCGATAACAAACAGAATACACAACACAAAGCTTCCTCCTTCTAATCAGCCACGGTCGTAAACACGATTAAAAAGATAAACAATAAATGAAATAGGCAGCTGTGATATTGCAATGGAAAACAACATTGATAATGAGGCTGATATTAATAATGATGATGATGATGATGGACTGACAAGGGAGGAGAGTAATAAACACACCTCAAAAAAGTTAAGTAAAAAAGAAGAAGAAGAAGAAGAAGAAGAAAAAAAAAATAGCCATAGCCATAACAGAGGCTAAAAGAAAGAAAAATTTAAGAAAGACTAAAAGAATATAGAATGTGACAATAATTTGCATGATAACAACAGTAACAGCAACAACAACAGTGATAATATGATAATAAGAATATTAGAAGAACTAACGAAATCAAAGAACTAAACTTTCTAATAAATAATGGAACAGACGCCGATTAATTCAGCCGACACCGAAACTAATTCTCGAATTGAGATAGACATTAAGGATCTGTTCCCACAGCGCTGGCGCAAGGAGAAGGGGGACAGGGGTCGACCCCCACTCTAGGAGGTAGAGCGCAGGACCCAACCTCTCGCCCCACTCCTCAACTTTCGAGGACATTCCCTGTAAACAAGCAAACAGTGGAATTCCTTAGTTACCCCCTGCAACCGAGACTTTTTTGGACACCTATTGAAGCAAAAAAAAAAAAAAAAAAAAAAAAAAAGAGAGAGAGAGAGAGAGAGAGAGAGAGAGAGAGAGAGAGAGAGAGAGAGAGAGAGAGAGAGAGAGAGAGAGAGAGAGAGAGAGAGAGAGAGAGAGAAAGAAAGAAAGAAAAACACCTCAAAGGGATGGGTAACTAAGTTATCCTCACCCCTATCTGTCTGTTCAAAAATAACCAATATGTCAAATATTATCTAAATAAAAATGTCTCCCATATTAGTGCAGAAATTAATGAGATTGACTTAATTTCATGAGATTAAAAGAGCTTAAAAATCCAGGAGCTTTCGGAAGCAGGACCTTTCTACGCCCATAAACATCTACTTCGCATAATCATCTACTTTGCTTATTACCGTTATCTCAAGTTCGCGTATTTCTATTCTTTTACTGTATTCCTCATAATCTATTCCGACTTCAGTAATCTGGGAGAGGATTCCGAAATGAGGATAATGCTTCTCATAATCATCTTTATTATTAAAGATGATTATGAGAAGTATAGAGGCTTTGATGGTTTGGCTATGAAGGCTAATTTCGGTGAGTGACTGTCTCGTGGCTTCGTTATAAATACTTATTACTGTCTGACTGAACTTCACCCCAGAGTTCCTTGTCCTGTGGTAGAATGGAGGAATATATATCTGTAATATTTTTCATTACATAGATATACGTAATTGATTCCAAGGTAGTTTTTTATGCAGTTTGACTTAGGCGTTTGTGAGAGGTAATAGGCTGCAGTCGGCGCGTTGTTTTTATTCCTTGAATGTTCCGGGAAAGAAAGTTATCACCAATTGTTTGTCTTTAAACTTTTCCCAAAATTCACATCATGAAAAGTGTCATTGAATAAATGGAAAAATTACTAACGGAAATATTGAGAGAGAGAGAGAGAGAGAGAGAGAGAGAGAGAGAGAGAGAGAGAGAGAGAGAGAGAGAGAGAGAGAGAGAGAGAGAGAGAGAGAGAGAGAGAGAGAGAGAGAGAGCAGGAAAGAAGAGAGAGGGGGAGATGCAGGTGAGAAACGACAAAACGAATCCTAGCATGCACTACCAGACGTACGACATTCACGGAAAAATCGTCTTGGAACTGGAGAACATACTTCTCACCCCATTCCCCATTCTCCACAACAACCTTACCCAGTACATAATACACTGACGCAAAACTCAAACATCCCTGTAGACTGAACCGAAAAAAAATTATGCATTCCGGTACGATCACTACGCCTTTACGCCACAGAAGGAGAACCTCTGACATTCCAGCCCAGGACACATCCTCGCGACGCCAAGTAGGATGTGCAATCTCGTCTTCTGAGAACTCGAACTTGCAGGTACGTTGTTGTAAATGAAGGAATCCGTTATCAGGGGCGTCATTTCAGCCCCATGATTATTATCAGTTTGATTATTATATTTTTATTGTTTTTGTTATTATTATATTATTATTATTATATTATTATTATTATTATTATTTATATATATATATATATTATATTTTATATATATATATACATGTATGCATGTATGTATGTATACATACATGCATAATAAAAAAATAAATTATATATATATGTATGTATATGTATGTATGATGTATATGTACAACACACACACACACACACACACACACACACACACACACACACACACACCACACATATAATATATATATATATATATATATATATATATATATATATGTATATATAATGTATCTATCTATCTATCTATCTATCTATATACAATACATTTTTATACATTATTTTTCATATATAGATTATATCATATATATAATATATATATATATATATATATATATATATATATATATATATATATATATATATATATATATATATATATATATATATATATATATATATATATATATATATGTATGTATATATATATTTACATATTGTATGTATATATATTTATATATGTGTGTGTGTGTGTGTGCGTATATATACTTGATTGCAGTAACCCATCAAAGATCGGAAATCCCCCCCCTCCCTCCCCTTCCCCTCCCCCTGGCGAGTCCTGCAGCGCATACGCAAAGCAGGATCTCATTATTTCTTTGTTCTCTTGCAAGTAATCGTGCAATCAGTGGCCCAAAAGTTAATACGGAATTTTGCAAGCAGTCGACTGCATGGTGAGAGGAGAGGGAGAGAGGAGAGAGAGAGAGAGAGAGAGAGAGAGAGGAGAGAAGAGAGAGAGAGAGAGAGAGAGAGAGGAGAGAGAGAGAGAGAGAGAGAGAGAGAGAGAGAGAGAGAGAGAGAGAGAGAGAGAGAGAGAGAGAGAGAGAGAGAGAGAGAGAGAGAGAGAGAGAGAGAAGAGAGAGAGAGGAGAGAGAGAGAGAGAGAGAGAGAGAGAGAGAGAGAGAGAGAGAGAGAGAGTAGAGAGAGGAAAGAGAGAGAGAGAGAGAGCGAGAGAGAGGAGAAAGAAGAGAGAGCGAAGACGATGGAAGAAGAGAGAGAGAGAGAGAAGAGAGAGAGAGAAGAGAGAGAGAGAGAGAGAGAGAGAGAGGTAGAGAGAGACAGAGAGAGACATAGATAGATAGATTTCAAAAGCATGCAATATATACGTATCTCACGTGAAAGGAAAGCATCAGCGGCAGTCTACTTCCGGCAAACACAATGCAAGACCGGTTTACTGACCAAAACGTTTTGTGCGCAGAATGCTTCTTCACCTTTTCGTCGCTTACGCCATCTTCGTGCTACTAAAAATCGCTAGAGAAAACGACTATTACGCAATCAATTCTTGTTATGAATTTAGAACTGAAATGAGTTTTACTTACGACCAGCAAAAAAAAAAAATAAAAAAATAAAAAAAAATTTTTTTTATCACATAGTAAGGCATTCAACTGTTGCTTCCTCTGCTTGCCACATGACCTGGTATGAGGTATGAGGTACGTAGACCAGGCGGATCCCGACGGTCGACGCCGTACCGTTGCAACAAATACACAAAATTATGCATTACTAATACGCTTTTTTATATTATTTCAGATATATAGAATAAGCAAGAAGATACACAGGGGGCGGACTGACACGTTGGGAACATGTCTGAGACTGAAGCAACAAGAGTAAGTAGCTTTTTGTTTTCTTGATTCTGATGTGGATTCTGTGATGACGGTAAGGTGGCGAGTCTGAGGATGCCATATAGCTTTTTGTGATCAGGATAATGTTGGTAATGATCGCAAGGATGATCAGGCCATAGTTGTGAACGAATGGCAATGAATTCAACACTAATATTAAAAACAATGGTAACGATAAAAAGGTAATAAGATTGTCATTAATAGTACTGGAAGTAATAATGTTAGCACTTCAAATTGCACTGATGATGACTATGACGGGAACAGCAATGCCCAGTGAAGAGAAAGACCTCTGGCGCCCCCCTCTCTCTCCCCCGCAGAGGCTGGCGTCTGCTGTCGAGGCGGGGGACGAGGAGGCTGTCTCGGCGGCGCTGCAGGAGGGGGCAGACTGCGACTCCCTGTGTCCCCCTGACGACCCTGAGTGCCGTGGGGGAACGCTGCTCTTTAAGGCCGTTGTGAGGGGTCACGCCCACTTAGTTCCGGTACTGATGAGGGCGGGCGTGGATGTCAACGGGCGGGGACAGGTAGGCTACACGGCCCTGCACGTCGCCGCTGCCTGTGGCGGGTCCTCGATGATCCCCTCCCTGGCGAAGGGCGGCGCGGACGTCGACTGCATGTCCTCCGGAGGTTTCGGTGAGCAGATCGAGCCTCGTCCTCGGTCGTATATCCTGGGCCGTGGGCTTAGTGTGCTTGACCCCGGGCTCTTCCTGTAGTTATCCTCTGCAACCTTTATGTTTCTCTACCGCTTGGTGGGTAAGACAGAGTAATGCATATCATTAATTTAGATGCAAAGCTCTCTTTTCTTACAAGGATTCAGTTATATCGAGAGAGTTAATACACAAACGCGGTCGTAGTTATACAGATAAAGGTAAATTGTGAATATTGTGCTTTATTGTACAATGTCTTCTTTATCACTTCAGATTTAAAGATTATGGCTGAACTTTAGCCATGATATATTTATCAGGTTCTATAGAGTTGATACTTTGATACATGGTGTATTGTTTGTAATTCACCTCACATAACTGTTATTAAGAAGTTACTATATCTCATACAGCAGGTGTGAAATACTGTATTTATTTTCAGTTTTACATGCAGAGGTGAATACATAACTGTAAGCTCGAAGCTCAGTCTTCGCAATGGCTGGATAAGCGCAAATAAATCATTTTTTTCCAGCCTTCAGCCCCATGCATATGGCGGCGTACAGAGGCGATGAAGCTGGCATCGCCGCCCTGCTCGCTTCGGGCGCCAACATCGACGTCTGCACGCCCAGGAGATTCACGCCCCTGCACACCGCCGCCCAATATGGCCACGACCACCTGGTGACTCTCCTGATCGAGTCCGGCTGTGACCGCCATGCCCGCTCGTCCACGGGCATGACGGCCCTCCACATGGCAGCCATGCAGGGCCTCAAGAGCACGGCCAAGCTGCTCCTCAAGTACGGTCTGGACCCCAACGCGCGAGACGAGAACGGACACACGCCGGATAACTGCGCCGACGTGTGGGGCATGAACGACATCCGCTGGTGGTTCCTGAAGCTCCAGGACTCCAATCCGACATCGATACCCAGGAGGAAACTGCATGTAATGTAGTTCAGTATGATGGCAATGTCGGTGGGGTTAGATATACAGATTAATATCCTGTATCTCTCTGATGTCTAATGTGTTCTTTATGAAAGTTATTTCATAAAATAAGAGTATATATTAGTAGTTTTGCCTTTGCTGGATATAATTCAAATATGTTTTTAATACCAAAAATGCATGTTTAACCATTCATGACTGATACTGAACTTCTTTGATGCTTGCAGGCAAACAGCCAAGAGGTTTATGAATATGACCACGGGAGTCTAAGTTCAAACGTGCGCCTGCAGGAATGGTTTACCCTTAAGGACGTGATTCCCAGGACCCGCGATGGCCACTACCAGGACTCCCGTGGACACACCCTCCTGCATCTGGCTGCCGCTTTAGGACACCAGAAAACAGCTGAGGTCTTGATTGAAATGTGCGGTGTGTACCCTGGGGTGCTCACCCACCGAGGCCAAACGGCAGACGAGCTGGCACGCCAAAATGGTCATTTCCAAGTCGCGGAAGCTCTTATCCAAGCTCGGAAACGAGATGAGGTATGTTGCGTCCATATTGTGTGTCCAGAAGCAAAGGTGAAGGATCTAGAAATTAATGTTTGTCATCTGTCACGGATAACGACAGCGGGACTAAAGTTGATGCGCCTATTAGACAGGAAAGACGCCAGAAGAGCTGTACGGAGAGCTGCTAAGTGCAATCAGCACCGGGGATGATGTCAAGAAAGCGTCTGCACTAGTGAAGGCGGGTGCCCCTCTGGAGCCCACGGGGGAGTACAGTACCCACAGCCTCGTTCTCGCAGTCACATCCAACCGGCCGAGGATGGTCAGTTTTCTGCTGGCCGCCGGCGCGTCTGTCAACATCACGTTTCACCGGCTCAACCTAGTGCAGGTGGCATGGCTGTCTCCTGATGTAACTGCTATGGTCAGCATGCTCATCACCAGGGTATGTCCCTTTTCTTTTTTCCTTTATGAACTCCAAGAAAAAGATGGATAAAGTCAGGGACTCAAAAAGCAAGTGTGCAAAGTATTCGTTGGGCGATTGATTCGGTAATCCTTTACTTTTCCAGCACATGGAGAATGTCTTGCAGGAGGAAAAGACACTTTGCGAGGCCACCGAGCTGCGTGATGGCATCGATTTCCTGCTAGACGCCTTGCGGAGTCGGACGCCGTGGAAAGCAGCTTGGCCCGCTCAGTCCTCGGGCAAGCCACAGCAGCAGCAGCTCCTCACCAGCCTCATGGTCGAAGCTGCACGAGCCAACTGCTCCTTGACGGCCCTCTTCCTACAGCAGGCAGGAGCGCTGGCCCACGGACACGATGTGTGCAGCGGGATGTCTCCCATGGCGGCGGCAGTGCAGGAGGGACACCAGAGGCTCATACACTTCATGGCCAAGACCACGGCGAGTCTTTACATTAGGGACACTACGGGCCAACTTCCACGGGACTCGCTCTCTCCTTCCCAAAGACAAGAGCTGGAAAAGGTGAGCCAAGGGTTTCCCAGCCAAGTCACGGTTCTAGAATGAAAATCATATTCCGGAGCACCCTAGAACCAGTGTCTTAGGCTCGTTTCTCTTCATCGTTTGTAGATCACATCCTGGGGTAGCATGGAAGTTCTTTAATTATGCACTGTATTAATACCAAATTTTTTTTGTTGAAAATGACTTGCATTTTCCACTATTTCTTTCATTCTGAGTAGCATTTAGAACTTTTTGATTGACATAAAGAAATGCAAACGCATTTCTGAAATATTCCACACAAAGAAATAAAGACAGGGCTGCAGATTCTATATTCAGAAAAAAGACTATCCCTGTTTAGAATATTTTGGTCTTGGTATATAATTATTATTAATAGCTGAGGACCTGTTCTAATAACCACGGATTATTCAAACAGATGATTTACGAGCAAGAAATGAGAGTGTTGAATCACCAAAAGGAGAAAACAAAGGACGAAGAAGAGAAAGAGCTTTTCCGGAGGATCCAGGACCTCCACCGCGACCTGTACCAAAGGCACCTGATCCCTGGCGTCACCCCGTCTGAGACACCCATGTCTGAAAAGGACATCGTGAGAAGGACGCTGCTGGTGGCGTCGCAACTGGGCCTCGTGCAGCTTCCGTTTATTCTGATAACGAAGGGGGTCATTTCGGTGAACGAGGAGGCTGATCCCATCACGGGGACAACTGCGCTACATCAGGCCGCCGCTTACGGCCATAAGAACCTGGTGGCCTTGTTACTGAACCTTGGAGCCGACCTCACCTTGAAGGACACTGGAGGACACACACCTGCACACTTGGCGGCCATGTTCGGTTACTCGCTGGCCAACAAACAGCTGTGGTCACTTCAGATGAGAGAAAAACTAATCTGCAGGGCAGGGACAACACCTTCAGATATCTGTCGGAATTTCGGCCTTTACTTGAAGAAATATCGTAAGTCTGGGGAGATAAATGAGCTTCCAGACACAAACGACCCACAAATGGTATTCCAAAACCACTTCCAGTCTCTCACGCTGTCCAAACTCATTGAAATGACTGCAGAAGATTCAGTGAACTTCAGTAGCGGTGAGGCGGCTGAGGTAAAGGACGCGGTCATGGCCGAACTTGAGGTCATCAAAGGAAAGGTGGCAGAGAAAAACCCAATGTTTAACGGGAGCCTAAAACTCCTTGGAAGCTCACGAGACAACACTCGCCTTTTCGCCCCCGACGAATTCGATGTCAATCTGGTCATCTCGCATCTTCCGGAAGTGAAGGTGGAGATCTGTGAGTTCCCAAAGCCCAAGGCCATTGCAACGGGACATAAGCTTTGCATCAAAGTGGGAAGTGAAGATCCAGACTTTGAGAAAAAGCTTCGAGCCACTGTTTGGAAGGACACTTTCTACAACCTGACCTACGAAGCACTGAAGCACCACCGTTTTCGTGACCCTCGCCTCAGCCTCGTCCCGCCAGGGGTGACAAGGACCCAGGTGGGCGCGGCGATCCAGATG